CGGTCATTTTCCAGAACTGGGTCGGGCACATACTTGTAGTACGGTACCTCAGACTCAACAAGTCGATAGTAGGTATATATTTATTATAGATATTATTTATTATTATTATTATTGGCTACCTAGGGTAATAGTTTATGAGATTTCAATAAAATTATGTTGTATTAAAAATTCTGTTATCGCAGCATAACTAAAAGATGTAACATTATCTAATTTCGGATTAACCATAATTGTGTAAAAAACCTATTTTTAATCGACTATTCACAAACCTGTTAGTTATATAGTCTACTCGCGTACCCTTTTGGACAACCCTATAAATTCTCCGTTCCGCGATGTAGGTTGCTGGAAGATAATTTTTCATTAAGCACAATAAATATACAGTTCACCTTTACCAAACCTAAGCCGACAATATCTAAAAACAGTGGGTATCGCCACTGTATAACAGGGCACGCCACCACTAAACTTATTAGTGAAATAGGTTATTTCAGTTTGGGCCCAGTGAACAACAAACGCTTATCAAGCAAAAATATCGGTATAATTTGCAAAATAATCAATCAGAATGGGTGTACCTAAATTCTTCAGGTACACAAGTGAGAGGTACCCTTGCCTCAACGAGCTGGTGAAGCAGTATCAGGTATGGACTTGATCTTTAGAATTATTCAATACATACCCTTGTATGAGAAAATAATATTTCATAATAAACTGTAACTATTATAAAATCTTATTGTAATCTTGTTACATGTTATTGTTCTAATTTGAGCTTCTTTCTAACTTATCATGTTTCAATAATAGGAATTTGTATGTGTATTAGTATAATAGTCTCACATAATTTGTTATTTAGGTAGTTCCATGACTGAAATGTACCTTTGGAATAGCTTATTTGCTTCTCATGCTGTTAATCATATATTTACAGATTCTCAGTAGAGTTTGTTGTAGGCCACATGTCTATCATAGCAATAAAAAAGTTGCAAATATTTCCAAAATAATTGCACAACTTTTGCCATACAATGATAACATATGTCACACAGCTTAACTCGTCGAGTACCGGTTTTGTAGACACAATTATAGAACAATAGGTTGCGGTCACTGGTGACCGCTTGGTGTTTGACAGTTTAATGGTCCCATTATACTTGCAAAAAAAATATGCATCCGAAATGTAGGTACTTTTTATATAAAACCTTATTTGCATGTTATGGTGCAAAATTTAATCAATATTGCCTCTAGCTGTATTTCATATCCTGAAACTTATGAAGGACTTAATCCTTCCTTCTTGTAGATATAAATGAGTTGATAAAGTCTATAACACATAGCTAGTTAAAAAATAAAGTAGGTACAATATCTACCCTACATTTCTCTTAAGACTTTCACAATAACTTTGACCCTCTTTCTCCTTGTTAAATTTTTCCCAAAATATAAACCTGCATTTAGATGTGTAGAACAACAATAACAAAATGACATTTATTAATAAAATCACCAAAATCAAGTATTTGATTAAAATTAAATAAACACCATACCATAATTAAAAATAGAGACAGGATTACACGAAACCAAAATCTGTTTTAGTTATTTTAATACATTGATATATCATCCTCTTAATTTGTTCATACTAAAGTTGTCTCATAAATATCAGGAATACGGTCTATAATGGAGTTAGGGGAGATCGTTACCGGTGACCGCTTTGGGATTGAACAGCTCTATATGAATTTCATAAAATTCTTAAAACCTCTTTTGTCATTTCAGATACCAGACTTTGACAACATGTATTTAGACATGAATGGAATAATTCACAACTGTTCACATCCTGATGATTCAAACCCACATTTCCGTATAACAGAGAAGAAGATTTTCGAAGACATCTTCCATTACCTAACCATACTGTTTCAAATTATTAAGCCTAAGAAATTATTCTTTATGGCTATTGATGGTGTTGCTCCTAGAGCAAAGATGAACCAGCAGAGAGGCAGAAGGTAACTTGACATTTATCATTAGTTATATAAAACAGTCCCCTTCCATGTTAGTTTGCCTGTTTGTATCTGGGTCCTGAGGAAAGTTTACATGTCTAGTTTTGACCACACAGATGAAACTGCTGGTGGAAAACTAGTTAGAAATTTTTAATTCTTTACTATACAAAGGCTTGATCCTAAGGAGGTGGAAATGAACACCTTATAAACTCATTTTTTAAAAATTAACAACATTTATTAAGCTTGCGAACTATACATGACTATAAAATCAAGTGACTATTGTCCCATAATTTTATTATTTGTTAAGAATGTTTAATGTCACACTACTTAATCAAGTGAACCTTAACTCAGTCTTTAACTCGTCGAGTACCGGTTTTTTAGACACAATTATAGAACAATAGGTTGCGGTCACCGGTGACCGCTTGGTGTTTGACAGTTTAAACTGTCAAACACCGGTGACCGCAACCTATT